GGACAGTGCAAACACTGAGGTTGTATTGCAGGTGAATTAGTCTCGAGTGTCTCTCTTTCCCGGTGCCTGTATCATAATATTTCTATTTATTTATGACCTGGTCAGTATTGTTCCTGTCTCTATAGTATTTGGTTTCCTTTCTGTGTAGCTCATAGTGTGTCTGCTTCTCTTATTCTCCTCTCGGTTCTTTTACACTCCTTTTTGGGGGATCAGGTCTTGCCTTGCTCCAAGACTGTTCGCGCCACGTTAGCAAGCTGCGAGAGTTTACGTGGAATGCTGTCGAAATGTTTAGGCGCCAGATTCACTGGGGCTAACCCTGCCATTTGACGTGGTTTAAAACCTGCGTTAGCTAGTCACTAGGCAGGCCCAGCCCGTGTTAACCCAGGGTCAGAAACTACAGCGTCCTCTCTGGGATCCTGTTTGGGCCTGTGACTGGGTCTGGCAGCCAGATCCAGGGGTCTCCTCAGCATCAGTTGGGAACAGAAGAGGCCGTGTGGGCCGCAGGGGAAGAGACAACCAAAGGAAGAGACAAGGAGACCAGCAGGGAGAACCCTCCGCAGCCTCTCTGGAGAGACATTGGCTTGGGATTGACGTTGGGGCAGGGCTAGGGTCCTCAGGACAGTCCTGTCTTAGCTCATTTAAGCAAAGGAGGCTGAATTTGGACAGTTCCCATGGTGGGAGGGTGCAGCTGGGGACTCCAGCCATTTACGGGCCCTTTCCCCTCTCCTTACCTGAATCCAGTGTGGGGCCCACCTGCACTCCCTAGCCACGCTGGGTTTAAAGCAAAGGAAACCCGAGGGAGGTTGAGGGTTTTTAAACAGTCCGTGACTGTTTGGTCCTTGTGCAGTGGGAGTTTGTGTGTAATATACTGTGCTGGCTTTTTAGTTGAGAAGATTTTAGAATCTTTCCCAGCATTGGTGAGCTCTTGGATTTCCCAGTGGCTCTGAGGGTTTTGATCCAGGTCTCGTGTGTGTGTGTGTGTGTGCGCATTTTTCAGTGTGTGTGTGTGTGTGTGCGCGCGCGCGCGCATTTTTCACTGTGTAATAATCCACGAGCACCTCTGGCCAGATTACTGCGCACCAAGTCATCCTGAATAGGGATGCAAGTGACTAGTCGACTATGCGATAAGCAAAAGCTTATCGAATAGTCGACTAGTCCCTTGACTAGTCCCTTCCCCCTGCAAGGGAGGGAACGGGAGCCAGATTAAAAGCCGGTTCCCCCCAGCACTGTCTCTGCGGGGGGCAGGTTAGGCAGGGGTAGCAGGGAATGGGCATGAGCTGGGAATCAGCTGATTCCTGGCTCACGCCCAGTCCCAGGTGCTGCGCCTGTTTTTTAAATGTATTAAGAGCCTACTGGCTCTTAATACATTTAAAAATCAGAAGCGCAGTGGGGGGGGCCTGGAATAGCTGATTCCTGGCTCGCGCTGGGTCCCTCCTGCTGCGCACCAGCCTTTTTAATTTATTATGAGCTGAGAGGCTCTTAAAACACACAACAGGCAGAGCCACAGGGGGGTTAGCTCCTGGCCTGGGAGCTAACCCTGCGGCAGCTTCCCCGCTTATCCACTAGTCTAGTCGGAAAATCCATCGACTAGTTGATTAAACTAAATTTAACATCCCTAATCCTGAACCATGTGAAGGCAACAGGGATAAAGCCCAGAGCTTTCAGAAACACATAACAACGGCCGGACTGGGTCACGCCAAAGGTCCATCCAGCCCAGTGTCCTGCCTGCTGACAGTGGCCAAACTCAGGGCCTGGCAGGTGTGCAAAAGGAAACCCTCGTAGCATTTACAACATCGGGCCGGGGGTAGGTGGAAGAACCCTTCTCTGTCCAGTACACGAACACTCACCAATTCTTTAGCAGCTGTTGTTTTTCAATTGCTCCACCTCATTCCCTTATTTCCCTTTCAAATGCATACTGTTGAGACTGTGAGCTCTCCAGCGCAGGGAGCCGGTCTCTGTAAAGTGCCGGGTAACTTGCCGGCAGTAGATGCTTGAGTTTTTAATGACAATAAAATTAACCTTGAACAAACTACTGAAGTTCTGAGTTTGGGGAAATGTTTTTCTGAGAGATCCTTCTCGTGGGGGGTTGGTTGTGCACAAGTCCAAGCTGGGCCAGCAGCTCTGGGGAGAACTGCGGTGGGGGAGGAGCTGCACAGGCCATACCACGGAGCTCCTATGGAAGTCTCTCTGGACTTCTTTCATTTGGGAGCTCCCGGTGTGGCACATCTAAAGACTGAATTCTGCTGTGAAGAGCAAACCGTGAAGCCAGGGAACATTCTTGCGACACTCCCTTCGCTCACCCCAAGCCCTTCTCCATTGAGAGAAACTTCACACCAGGGAGACTTGAGTTAAGATAAACGATTTAAAAATGTGAGAGAAGAGTCCTCGTATGTGTGGCATCCCCAGGACCAGCTCCAAACGGGCCAGTGCCCGTGCCGGATGGCAGCTATAACCTGAACTTGGCGTGTAGACAAAGAGCCATGAAATCACTTGGGATCCGGTGCAGGCAGCCCAAACAGACATCCTCCTAGTGGTAAAATTAATCTTCCACAGCCCAAGCATGCAGGCTTCAGCACCGAACCCAGCATGGCCTTGATTGCAAGGGAGTCCCAGACCTTCCAACAAACAGATGCCAAAGGAGCTCTTGGTAATCCCTCCGAAGCAGCAGCCCCGTGAATTCAGGTGTTTGGTTTCAAGCCTGGTCCATGCCCTGCAGCAATCCTGTCCCTAGTCCGGAGGATTTCAGTAGCCTGCGCAGATGACGATTGTTTCCAAACGGGGTACTTACCAGTGGTGATTTCTAGGCCATTCAGGATCCCCTACAAAAAGAGAACAAGCACAGCAGAGAAGTCCTAGAACATTGTCATCTCCACTCTGCTGAGTCTTAATTCGCCTGCCCACCCAGGCCAGTGCAGAATTGTTCTTGGCAGTGCGTTTTCCAGGGTTGGGCTTTCAATTCATTGTGGTTAGACTGTGTTCCAGACAATTCGGGAGAGAGAGAAGTGGATTGGTCTTGTGTCTCTGTCTTTCTGCTTGAAATGCTTCAGGGGTACGTGCGAGCCCCCTTAGCACTATGGTAGGTAGAAGAAAGCAAAGGGCCAATAACATTTTGACTCCCAAGATTTTGAATTAAACCAATTTCTGCTTGAGCTGCCTAGGCGTTCAGAAAGGCATTGCATGAAGTCTCCGTTCCCTAATGCTGCCCTAGATAGGAAGCAGACTGCTGTTTGCTGCCAGGTGAGATGAGCATCACTTCCCTCACAGTCCAGCCACTCCGCCCAGGTGAGAAGCGAAGAAATCTAGATGGGAACAGTTGGGGCACTGTGGGGATTCAGGCCTCAGAACTAATCTGGGCCGGGAACTGGGAAGAAATAGCCCTCAGCCCTCCAGAATCACACAGCTCCCCAAGTAGCATCTGGAGGCACAGTGGGGTCAGTGGCCAGCCCTCCTAGCATGAGTCCAGGCCTCCTCTGTGAAAGCCAGTTTTAAAAGAGCCAAAAGCTTCAGAGGGGGATCCGAGTTAGTAAACTTAGACGATAACCAAAAAAGCTTCAGAGGGGGATCCGAGTTAGTCTGTAACTGGGAAAACTTAGACGACAACCAATAGTCTTGCAGCACCTTAAAGATGAACAAACCATGTAGATGGGATCATGATCTTCAATGACTGGAGTATTAACAGTCCAGTTCTGAAATAAATAGGGGATGGAGGGGAGAAGGAAGTGAAAAATAATGAATTATAGTGTTCATGTTACATGAAGCTGATAGAGAAGGTGCAAATTGCTCTTAAGTACCCATTGGTTGGTTAGGTCAGTAGGATGTGGAAGGCAGTGTGCTAGCTAGGTCATGTCTTTATTCGCACCTTTGTGATGGGTCCCAAACCTGTAAATGAAGTTAAGTTCCAAGGCTTCCCTGTGGATTTGCCCCGTAGAATTGGCCGGAAACAACATGATGACTTTGAGATCCATTATTGAGTGCCCCGGGCAGGTTAAAGTGTTCTCCGACGGGTTTCTGTGTGTTGCCTTTTCGGGTATCTGATTTGTGTCCGTTAACTCTTTCCTGTTGAGACTGTCCAGTTTGGCCAGTATACATGGCAGTGGGGCGTTGCTGGCATTTGATGGCATAGATCATATTGGTGGAAGTGTAGTTCAATGAGCCCCCTTCTCTTCCTCCCCTGTCCCGGCTCTATCTAGTTCATGCCGCGTGTAGCCGCGGGCACGGAGTCCGAACTAGCGGCCATTTAAAAATGGCGCCCGGCAACATGCAAATGAAGCCCGGGAAATTCAAATCCCGGGCTTCATTTGCAACTCCAGTTGACTACATTACCACCCTAGTTCGAACTAGGGTGGTAGTGTAGACATACCCTAAATCTTCCCTTCCCTGGGTCTGTAATGGTCCTCGACCTGCTGCCCTCTTCCTGGGCCCTGGCTGCTCTCACATAGAAGGGGGTGGTGAAGGAGGTAGAGTCCAGCCTCCAGAGCACCATGACTTCCCCTAAGCAGCCAGCCTTGACCTCGCTCCTGGGGCTGATTCGTTCTCAAAATCCCTCCCTGGGCTCACGGGAGCACCCTTGGGAAGGTCTGCACGACAAAGCCATGTCAGTCATGGATGAGAACCCCCCCTCCCACCCAGCTGGCTTCCCTCTGGTGTCAATGGCGCGACAGAATGCTTTGATCGGCTTGGTAAGGCCACGTGGGGAGGCGACGTTACCGCACGGACAGAAACACTCCTGCTGGGATGAGCTGCGTCTACACTGGGGGTCGTGGCGACGCTTCCTGGAATTTGTAGCTGAGGGAGGCCTTAATGCTTGTGTTGTACGTGAGTCCTCCAGTCCCCTGGTGGCCTGGGGCCCTGAGTGGGTTGCAAGACCCAAAACTCGTCTCCTCCCAGATGTTTTATTCTTGCCTGGCCTCAAGGTTTTGGTTCTAGCTGTCGTTTCTCTCTCTTGCTAGTGCTCCGGCCGGGTCCCTAAACATAATGGCCCCTGATGTCTCTCTCCCTAGACTACGCACGTTCCCAGCCTGGCGTTTTCTCCTGGATTGTACAAGAGGAGAAGCCGAGTGTGGGGCAGCCAGGCAATGCGGAGGAGCGAGAACTCCCGCCGGAGCCCGGCCCTGGTGAGTTACGAGTGGCCGAAAGGCAGTGGCGCCCTGCAGAGATGGGCCAGAGGCGTGCCCTGGGCAGAGAATTCCCAGCGCGGGAAAGGCTGGAGCGAGTGGGGGTGGCTCTGTGCTGGCCGGGGAGATCGGCCGGCGAAGCCTCTTGCAGGGGTGCTGCACCGGGGACAGGGCAAAAGGAGGCTGCAGAGCAGAAGGGACCCATTTGATCTCACAGCACTGCCCACTGGAGCCCACCCTGCAACTCCTGCAGTGGGTGCAGTGATGTGTCTTGGGGGGGAGGGGGATTGGGGTTACTGCTGCCTGTCGGCCCAAGGTAATAGGCGCTATGGTGAGAAGTGTCGTGAGTAAATGAGGCAGCAGGAGCACATGGGGGCCTCCCTCCACCTCTCTGCGGAGTAAGGAAGAGGCCTGGCTGCGGAGGGGCACACAGGGCTCCGAACTGAAAACCATGGGAAGTGGTGGGTGGGACATTGGGAAGCCAGGAGGTACGTTCCCCTTTTCCCCTTCCCCGTTGTCTTCTGAGCACGCCAGCGCGTCTCCTATTGTCTCTACGTCCCTGCCCACACTGCTCCCCTCCAGCTGTGACCCCAGCTGGGCCTGCGCGCGCTCCCCAGCTCTGAAAATCCAGCCTCTCCTGGGGACCACGACTTGGAGCCTCTGAGTTTACGCCCACAGTTGTGGAAACCTGGCTGCGTGCCGGGAAGCAGCTGACAAATAACACTCGTTAATCACAAGGTTTAAACCCAATCTCGCTCTCTGTCTCCCATGCAGCGGATTACGAGTTCCTGATCAAAGCCGAGCAGGAGGAATGCCCTGCGACCCTGGCCAGAGAGGCTGTTCTGCCGGGTCTCGAGGAGGCTTGGGGCCGGGCAGGATCCCAGCTGAGGAACCACCCAGGACAGAGGGGAGCAGCTCAGCTTGAGAGATGTCTCAGCAGCACCAGGCCCGTGGCCATTCTGCAGAGGAAGTCGGCTGTGGAGCGGCCTAACAAGTGTGCCGAGTGCGGGAAGGGCTTCAGGCTAAGGAAGAGCCTTATCGTTCACCAGAGGAGTCATGCCAGGGCAGGCCCCTGTGCAAAGAGCCTCGGCCACAAGCCGCACTCCCTGCTGCACCCCAGAGCCCCCGCGGGAGAGGGAGCCGGCAGCTTTCCTGCCGAGCAGCAAGGCCTAGCCCAGATGCTCAGTCTCCCGTGGGAGCCGGCCAGCGGCAGGTGTCCGAGCATGGAGTGCAGCAGCAGCTTCCGTCCCAGCCTTGGCGCCCTGCACCCGCCAGCCGGCGAGAGGCTGTACGTGTGCACCGAGTGCAAGCGGAGCTTCCGGCTGCACATCAACCTGGTCCTCCACCAGCGGACCCACGCGGAGAAGGGCCCCGGGTCCCTGAACTGTCCCTACTGCAAGAAAAGCTTCAGCCGCTCCTCCCACCTCATCCGCCACCAGATGAGCCACACGGGCGAGAGGCCCTATAAATGCCCCGAGTGTGAAAAAAGCTTCACGGATAAATCCAAGCTCACCAACCACTACCGGATCCACACCGGGGAGCGGCCCTACCGCTGCACCGAGTGCGGCAAGAGCTTCAGCCGCACACACCATCTCCTCAAGCACCAGCAGATCCACACAGGCGAGAAGCCCTACCCCTGCCCCCACTGCCCGAAGCGCTTCTCCCAGAAACACCACCTGCTGGGGCACCAGCGCATCCACACAGGGGAGCGCCCCTACCAGTGCACGCAGTGCGTCAAGAACTTCACGCGCAAGCAGCACCTCCGCGAGCATTGGCGGGGGGACCCCCGAGAGCCCCCAAGCATGCCTGACGCGTTCCACGCCAGCGGCCTCTGAGGCGTCGCCGGGGAGAGCGGGGGGCGGCCGTAGGCCCCGGTGTTCAGAGCAGGTGGCTCCGCGGGAAATGGGCCGGCAGTGGCGGGACACAGATCGTCCGGCGTCTCTACAGTGACAGCGTCACGCCGGCTGGAAAAGGAGCCAATGAAGAAGGAAGGAAAGCCAGGTGCTGCGGAGAGCTATAGGCCCGGGCTAGCAAGGTTGGCCCCTTCACCTGTGAGACGGTCCTTAGAGTGCTGTAACTTTTATAAAGCTTTCCTTTGGAACCCCGATAGCATGCCGAGAGAGGAATTTATTTGGGGATTTCGGATTGGTGGGTTTTTTAAGGTTCTATTATTTTCTACTGCAGGTGTAGGAGTCCGTTAATGCTCTGTGGAAATGCGACCCTTGCTGGGGTGGAGCACTTTCCTGGCATAAACTGCAGACAAAGGCCCGGACTCTGGAATGAACGTCCAGCGGAGCTAAAGACCCTTACACACCTTCCCACCCACCGCTTTAAAGGCTTGTGTACCTCATGCTGCAGCCAGCCTGAGTTTTCTGTGGATCAGTGGCCCCTGGCCCAAAGAGGTTCCCCAGCCTGTCCTAAACTTGTCCTTTTCCAACCCCATGAGGTGTGTGTGTATCAGAATCCCAGCCCGGGCCCCATGCTGCTCCTGCAGAGGAGGGGACAGACCTGTTGGATGTGGGGCAGGCTGTGGGATGGCCTGCCGGGCGGGGCCGAGGGCTGGGAAACGCCCTG